CTTGCCGCACTCACCGCTCGTCCGCAACTGCGGCAGATCGCGCCTCTTCGTGCTTCCGCTTGCTCGCCCGACTCTGGCGTCCGTGGCCGACGAAGACGACGTTTTGGTGGATGCCCTCGCACCAGTGCGTGCTGAAGGTCTTCTCGTTGAGCTCCTTCTGAATGACCTTGCCGATTGGGGGCAGCGCTGCCAAGCCGAGCTTTCTTCTGACTCCGCTACTGCGGTCAGGGTCATCCTCCCACTTGGGCATGTACTTCGCTGGGACCCAGCGCCGAGAGATGATGGAGTCGCTTGTTCGATGCATCCAATCAGGGAGCCACTGGGGATCGTTCTTCGACGGCCTCCCTGCAGAATCCGCGTTGTAGTCCGCAATGCGCACGTCGCACGGGCCAATGGGGAGGACGTAATTCGGATGCATGACGCGTGTGCCCTCCACAAGGCCTCCGAACAGGGCGGGTCCAGCCCTGAGCACCACCCCCATCGGGCAGGTGTAGCTGGCTCCGCAACTGCGGCCAAATGCTTGGAGCTGCTCAGGCGGGATGTCAAACAGGCCGCACAAGAACCGCACATCATTTTTATGGATGGAAGCAACCGCGTCCTTGAAGAAACTTGGATGCCACGCTGTTTGTTCTGATTGCGTGATCTTCTGTTGGAGACGTTCGGTGACTGCGTGTCTGGACACGACGGCAAAACGGATCACCGCGGCAGGATTCATGTCGGAGCCCTTCAGGCGAAAGCGCAGGATCGTGACGGCGTGGGTGGCCCCAACAACATGACCCGCAACTGCGGTCTCTGCGATGATGTGCGGGCGCACGAGCACCACGCCCGTGTCTCTGAACAGGCCAACCGTCGTCCAGTAAGGCTCCGCGGTGTTGTTTTTCAAAGTGACAGCGTCTTCGACGGCAGTCCTGAGTCCAACGGGAACGTCGTAGCTGCAAGCGCCTTCGACGTTCCCCGTGCGGAACAGCTCGGGGTCCCATACGACGAAGACGACCGCCGCAGTTTGGTGCAAGATGCACCTGAAGACATCTTCCTTTGTTGCCACCTTCGTGATGACCACCACGTTGAACACCAAAGCGATGGTGGACGGAACCCGATTGCCGTCTGCTGTACGAAGGAATCCTTCGTTCCACTTGGGGCGTTCCCCAACGTAGTTTATCCCTGGAGGGGACCTGGTCCGCTGCTTCTTCCGCGGTGCTCCCGCATCTTCCCGCAACTGCGGTTCCGACGGAGGCCCCGCGCGACCCCGCGACTGCGGTTCTGACAGCGGCGAGCCTTCCGTGGGAGGCGGCCTTTTCCTCGGCCGCGAATCGGCCGAGGCGATTGTCTCGGCGGCTTTCTCCTGGGAGGCGGCCTCGTCTTCGGGTTGGGCGCCTCGTTTGGACTCGGCTGCGAGCAGCACGGCCGAGGGCGCGCTGCTCCCAGATGAGCCGCGCGCGGCACCTGGCTCGCCGGCCACCCCCGCAACTGCGGTCTCGGTGGCGGCTCCCGTCACTGCTGGTTGGTCCTGCTGCTTCGTCGGCGTCTGCGCCCGAGGCCCCCATTTTGCCTTGGGGGTCAAGTGCGCCCTGCGCAACTGCGCCTCTTCGCGCCTCCCACCAGCAGAGCTCCCACTCGCAGCGCTTATCGGCGGCGGCGGCCGATATTCCCGCGAGGAGCTAGACGACTGCGGGGAGGCCTCGCGCGGCGGTCGCTCGGGGCTTCCGCAACTGCGGTCCTCCGTCGGCTCCGCGACTGCGGCATCCGCGGCAGCCCCTTGCAGGCCGAACCTTTCCCGCAGTTGCTGCTTCAGCTCGGCGAACCGCTTGTCGACCTCGGCTTTGCGACCTGGGTCCATGGCGTGGCCGCGCGCGGCCCCCGTCCGACGGGGGAACTGCGGCCGGCTTGGGAGAGGAAGGACAACGAGGGAGACGGCGGGGATGAGGACGAGGAAGGCGAAGAGGAGGATGGAGAGGACGCGACGGAAGAGGATGGCGCGAAGAGCTCAGACGAGGGTGAAAGGAGCAAGGGGACTGCGACGAGGATGACGGGGCAGAAACGGAGGAGGAGGAATCAACAAAGTCCGCAACTGCGGCCCTCGGGGGGGACTGCGACGAGGACGACGGGAAATGACTCGGCCAACGGAGGCGGGCTACGGCCAACGGAAGGAACTGCGACGAGGAGGAAAGGCGGAGGGAGGAGACTGCGACGAGGACGACGGGGAAGGGGCGACGAGGACGACGAACAACTGCGGATCCATCTGTTTAAGTACCTGTCTCCGCAACTGCGGCCGCGCTAATTAACGTCACGAGTGCTTCAACGGAGGTGATGCGCGCCCGAAGCACCTAATTACAGCGGTCAGTCGTGGGAGCGCCGCAACTGCGGCCAAGCTGTATGAAGTCGCTAGAAGGCAGCGCCGCAACTGCGGCCGAAAGCGCGCATAGTGAGTCAAACGAGCGCGGCGTCACGCGATCGGTCCCCGCAACTGCGGTTCCATGGCTGCGCAATCCCGCAACTGCGGTGTCAAGGCTGCGCGGACCACCGCGGTTGCAGCTGCGCCCCCTTGCTCGCGTCGAACCGCCCAGGATTCGGATGGGCGTGCAGCATCTTCCAGAACGTGAACGTTCCGTGGCCATCGCTCTTGCCGAGACCTGCCCTCGGGCCCCGCACGGGATGCGAGTGCGGCTCCACCTCATACGTGTTGAACTTCGGGCTAGACCAGGATGGGTGGACGCGAATGCCCGAGCCGTCGTCGCGGATGAGGACGAAATCCCACTGGGGCAGAGGGATTCTTTGCGCCTGTCCTCTGTCCACCCCTTTCGTGTGCCTCATGTTGTCGAGACTGCTAGGGCACGGGCGGCACTCGCAGCGGACCAACCCGCGACTGCGGTCATTGTCAGGGCCGCACACGACGCGCAGCATTGTAGGTCCATCCATCTGCGCGACCATCTCCAGCCAAGACCACGGCACTTTGACAGTGTGGTCCCAGTCCCAATCCCTGTTGTCCTGCGCCTTCCCCTTTGCGCGGTACTTAAGGATCTTCGAAATTTCCTCCGCAACTGCGGTACCTCCGAAGACGGGCGTGCGGCTGCCGAAAGGGTTTTCTCGGTCTTCGTACTCGTCTCGGAACCACTTCAAGGCCGCGTTGTGCTGCTTATAATTGCCGTTCCAGTTCGCCCTGAAGTTCTCGAAGAATTCCAACTTGAAAATTGGCAGCGGCTCATTGCGCACAATTTGAAACAGCGCAACTGCGCCTTGTTCTTCGCGCCCTGGGGGAAGCAGGGGACCGCCTCCTTTGCCCGCCGCTGTTGCGGCCGCGGGCTCCGCGGCAGGAGAACCTGCCGAGGCACTCGAGCGGCCACCTTCCCATGCATTCCACCAGCCACCCTCGTCGTCCCACCAGCGGGCGCCCTCCATTCCCCAACCCTCGCATCCGTTGCCGCCCCATCCGCCGCCCTCCCATCCGCGACTGCGGTCACTTCCGTCGCCGCCATCCTGCGCTTTTCCTCTCCATCCGCCAAGAGAATCTCCGCCGCCCCAGCCGCCACTGCGGTCACCTCCGCCGCCGTATCCGCCACTGCGGCCGCCCCAACCCCCACTTGTTCCCCAACCGCCGCCGCTGCTCTTTGAAGAATCCGCAACTGCGGCCCGTGTTTCCTCTTCCGCTTTGTCATCCCACCCTGCACGCATCTCTGCCCCGACTGCAGGCCGCGGAGGCGGGCGCGAGCCCGCCCAACCGCCGTGAAACCTACCGTCGGCGCGGGCTTGAGCCGAACGTGCATGGAGGAGGAGGATGAGGAGGAGGAGGGTGAATGTGAGGAGGATGATGCGTTCCTGGGAGGTGTGCCTTCGCGTGCAACACAAGAGCCCTGAGAATTCCTGAGGCCCCTCCAACAGCCAAGGACGCGGATGACAAGAAAGTCGAGAAGATTGGGAACCGATTGAGGATTAAGAGGCGTGCGACGAAAGGGATGATGATGACGAAGAGGAAGATCAGTGAAGGGGAGGAGCGGACAGGAATTATGGAGGAGTGATAGCAGAGGAGGAAGAGGGGGAAGGGGGAGGAGGAGGAGGAGGAGGAGGAGGGAGAGGAAAAGGGGGAGGAGGAGGAGGAGGAAGAAGGGGAGGAGGAGGAGGAGGAGGAGGAGGAGGAGGAGGAGGAAGAGGAGGAGGAGGAGGAGGAGGAGGAGGAAGAGGAGGAGGACGACGACGACGAGGAGGAGGAGGAGGAGGAGAGGGAGAAGGAGAACGGGGACAGGAGGACAAGGACGGAGAAATATAACAAATGAGGGGGAGGAGGCGGAGGAGGAGGAGGACGAGGAGGAGAAGCAGGAAGAGGAGGAGGAGAGGGGGGAGGAAGAGTGCGCGTGAGACTGGGAGAACGAGGTAATTAATTAGAGAGGGAACGGGGGAGGAGGGAGGACAAGGAAGAGCATACAGCGACGAGAAGAGGAGAAGGAACAGACGAAGGCTCCTGCTGATCGCATTTCCGCATCGTTCAAAGCAGTGCCGGGGCACTGCTTTGAACGACTGGCGATGTTCAAAGCAGTTCCCCGGCACTGTGTTCCATCGTCGCCGTTATAAGGGCTATCGGATTACTGTTCGGTCAGGTCCTCAGTGAGGTCTGGGAGGAGGTCGGTGTTGTCGTTCTGGAAGTCGGCGTCCAGTACGAGTCTGCGACGAGCACGGTGTTCAGCAGCAGCAGCAGCAGCGGTGAAGCGTTGTTGAACTTCTGTGGTGCGCGCGCCGAAGAAGACGTTTCTCGTCTGGCGGCGGCTCATCACTGTGAAGAGCCAAGCGTCTGAACAAATACGGCTGGCTCGATTGCGAAGTTGTTGGCCAGATTCGCCTCGGAATAATACTTGAAAGTTGTCTCGACGGAGCATGCGAAGAACGTATTCCTCACACCGGGCAAGCCAGTCCGCTTAGGAGGAGGAGGAGGAAGAGGAGGAGGAGCAGGACGACGACGAGATCGAGGACGAAGACTGCCCGGGGCCGACGGAGGGAGGCGTGGCGCGCGCCTGGATACCCCGCTGTCTTCGTGGAGCCGGGGGGGCTGCCTCCTCTCGGCGCCGCCCTCTCTCTGGCGTCGTCGTCGCGATCGACCGATGGATCGGTCGACGCCGAGGACCGCGATTTCCAGACGTTTCGTCCACAGGCATGGCGTCTTAAGAAAATCCGGAAGGCAATGGTTTCACTATTTTCGGCCCTTGGGGGCCCTCGCCAGGCCCCGGGAGCGTCACAAAACGACTCAGGTCGAAACACCGCTCCTGGGGAACGGGTCGGGACTTCCAGGGACGCCGTCTTCGATCGATCGATGGATCGATCGAAGATCAAGTCGGGCGTGTCCCTCTACAGGTGTCCCTCTACAGGAGGGATGTTCCATTATCGTCAAAGCATAATACGCGGAACATTTCTGGAATATGTTAAGCATGTTTGTTTTGTGCTTACTGTTAGACTCTTTCTCCTTCGTCCAGAATCTGCCTGTAGAAGCACACGCCCGACCTAAATCGAAATCGAGGACCGAAGTTGCGGACGTTTCGTCTTCCGGTGCTCCTCCACTTGGTTGAGGGTCGAAAGGCCGACCTCCCAGAAGGACACCCCGCACCCGGGTGCACAGCACGCAAGGCGCTCGCAAAACACGCCCCAGACCACCGGCATCACGCAAACATTTGGACCCCCTACGCATCTGCCACCACCCGCGCGCGACACCGCACCCTCACACAAGACGCCGCTGGCCAGAAACTCCTGGCCTCGCAACAGTCACAGAAGGGGTCGGCGGATGTGGCGTAAGTCTGTAGAATCGAAATCGAGGACCGAAGTTGCGGACGTTTCGTCCCGCTCTACCCCCCCCCACCGCCATCTGCCAGGCCGCCTGCGGGACAACAGCCACACGGCCGTCACGGCAGTGAACCTCCCACGGCCGCCACCGCAGGGACGCGGCGGACGCTCCCCAGACAATCGGGCGGCCAGACATCCTCGAGACACGGGCCCCCGACCTCTCGACCACCTCCCCAGGCCCAGTGAGGACCCCGAGGGGCCGCACACGGCCAAGAACTCCCGCCCCGACTCTCCCGAGGCGCCAGATGCCTGGGTCCGTCCCTTCCCATGGGGGGACCACGAGGTGCAGTGACCCCCCCCCCCTTTCATGATGAGCTGGGGGGGGGGGAGGGGTTCGAACCGGTAGTGACCCCCCCGGGTTTTCCGAAGGGGGGGGGGGAGGGGTTCGAACCGGTAGTGACCCCCCCTGGTTTTCCGCCAGCAGCGGTAGAACACGCTCTTTCCGAGGTGCCGATACCGCTGGTCCCCGGACCTCCCCCCGGGGGGCGCTCTGACCAGAATATCGAGGCGCATCCAGCGGTGGCGACGGGGAGCCCCCAGGAGGCCCCAGAAAGGGGGAAGCGAGGGAAGGGCAGCAGCATGGGTACCCTTCCCAGGAGCCTGTTTTTTTGATTCAGGCAAGTTTACTTGCATGGCGTTCGCCCCCCCCCCCCCACCCCCACCCCTCCCCCTCTTCAAGCTAGCGTGCAAGTGCCTTTCGACTTGCGTGATTTCCGCGCCCCCCCGAACGTGCAAGTCGTTTGCGGCTTGCTTCAGGCTCAGCCCCCCCCCCCGTCCATGCAAGTAAACTTGCCAGTGTCTAAAAAAAAACAGGCTCCAGACACGCGACGCCCTGATTTTTTCGCTGCGCGGTCCCCAGAAGCCCCCACCCTCTTCCCGGGACCGGCTCTTCATCCGGAACAGTGTTTTGACGGTTCTAGGACCCGGCGAGGGCCTCCAGAGGCTGATAGCAGCGAAAAACCTCCATCCTGAAATGTTTACGACGCGATCGTGTCTGGGCAGCGGTATGGGTTCCTTTTTTCCTCCTCTGTTTCTTCGACCTCCGTGGGTCTCCTGGTGCCTCCCCACGGGCCTCGGGGGGGCCCCCCGAGGCCCAGCTGGGGGTCTTCGTCGTCGTCGTCGTCGGTTTCCGTATCGTCGTCATCGTCGTCGTCTTCTGCAGCATCGTCGTCGTCGTCGTCGTCGTCGTCGTCGTCGTCGTCGTCATTGTCATTGTCGTCGGCGTCGGCATCGTCGTCGTCAACGTCGTCGTCGGGGACAGTGGAGTGGGGGGAGGGGAGGGGAGGGGGAGGAGGAGGAGGAGGAGGAGGAGGAGGAGGAGGAGGAGGAGGAGGAGGAGGAGGAGGAGGAGGACAGGGAAGGCGGACGAGGAAAGACGACGAGAAGAAAGGAGGGGGAGGAAGATGAGGAGTGGAAGGAGGGAGGAATGAAAAGGGATGGAGATAAGGATTAGGCGGGCGACGACAACGAGGAATATGGGAACGGAGAGGGGGTAGGGAGGAAGAGAAGCTTGAGGAGGGATAGGAAGTAAGGAGGGTAAATAGGGACAAGAAGGAGGAAGACGAGAAGGGAGGGGAACAGGCAAGAAGCAAGAAGCTGGAGGAGGAAGAGGAGCCTCATCCTTGCTTCTTATCCCCCTCCTACCTCCCCCTCTCCTCCCCACCTCCCCCTCTCCTCCTCCTCCTTCCCCCTTCCAACCCCTACCTCCATAAATTTGCCGGCGCAGTAAACGCCCACACATGGTAAAGGACGACATGTCCACCTCTCCAACTTCCAATGCTGAACTTTACCCCTCTCCCATATGCCTCCCGTCGAAATGCTTCATGATATCGTTGTCTGTCCAATTTGTTGACGTTTGCTCACAATGATCTCTATCTTTCTGAAGGGGACCTCCAATATTTGATCTTTCTAACGGGGACCTCCAATAACTTGCTGCCAGAATTCAACCCTCATTTCGGTGCGCTGCATCATTGATCGCGGACCTAGAAAACGTCTTCGAACCCCGCGCCGAAGCCCTTCTTGGCTAGTATGTCTCCCAGATAGTGCCAAGACTTCGGCCCCAGTGAACTACTTTACACCCTCCTCCCCTGCCTCCACCTCCTGATCCCGCCGATGGGAAGGGAGGAGGAGGAGGAGATGCAGGAGGAGCATGAAGACGACAAGAATCAGCGCGAGTCGGATCCTGCCTAGAGGCGGGGCCTAGGAGACACTCGCAGGTCGGCCAGAACTGCCCGACGGCGATCGGTGCTAAGACCTGCATCTGAGGTTGGAAAACTGATCCCAATGTGATCCAAGAACGTCCACGGCGACAACACAACCGACAACCGACCCGGCCGACAGCGAAACCAAAACCAACCGAAACCGGCAGGCCGCGAGCAGTCTAGGAGGTCACAGTGACGCCGCAATGGCGCAACTTCCGATCAGAGCGAACCGACCAAGCGCTACCGAACCTTGCGACCCATGTCGCACTGTCCTGAACTGGCGTGGCCCCCTTGCCAAAGTATTTGCCCGACACCGTGGCAGTTGGAAGATCATGCGCCGACCTCCCTGAGGGCACCCAAGCAATGTGGATTGCTGCTGGACTGCTACATTGTGGAAACCAGAAGGTACTCCAGATTTCGTAATAAAAGGGAGGGGGTCTGGACCCTCCAAGACAAGCCGTTTCAGACCTCCCCCGTGGGAGAACCCTCCAAAACATCGTCCCCAGACCCCCCAGGCCCTCCAAGATAGCCTGGAAGAGACCCCCCCCGAAATGAGACCCCCCTCCATTTATTACGAAATCTGGAGTACCAATACTGCTATTCTCCGGACCTCTCCCAGGGTGCGTCCTGACAAACATGTCGATGCGAAGCCAGCCGTGGCGACGGGGCCCTCGTCGCCACGGCTGGATCCGCATCGAAAGGGCCTCCCAGGAGGCCCAGAGAGGTGAAAGCGAGGCAAGGGTAGCGGCATGGGTTCATGTCCTCCTGTGATGCATTGTTCCCTGTGTGTTGTCTCTCTTTGGTGTCTCCTGTATCTCCAATCCGATCTCTTCTTCCTGTCTGCGAAGCTTACTGGTCACCGTGGACCCGAGGTGGGTGGCGCTCTTCCCTTGGATCGGCAACCACTTGCGCCATCGCCTGGACCCGTCAATTCTCAATCGCTCGCACGGCAACAAAAATCGTGCAACGCGACTGGAACGAGGAGGAGGGGAGAGAGGGTGAGGGTGAGGGTGAGGGTGAGGGTGAGGGGGAGGAGGAGGAGGAGGAGGAGGAGGAGGAGGAGGAGGAGGAGGAGGAGGAGGAGGAGGAGGAGGAGGAGTAGGAGAAGCAGGCGGCAGGATATGCGAGCTGCTCGCGGCACGGCCGGCGCTTCTGGCTCTGGCGCCCACAGGCCCGCTCCCGGCGTGAACAAGAACAACCTGGGGGGTGCCCCTCAGATCCCTGGCCGCTCTACAGTCGGACTCGATTGGACAGGACGCGCGAGAGGACACAAGACCCTTCCGAGGGCCACATTGCAACAGGAATGTAGGAAGCATGGGCCGCGAGACACAGGACACAAGGGTACCCTTGATTTGGCAGGGTCGACCTACTAATTCCTGGCCGCACTAGCTGGCCCTAGGATTCCCATCGGGACGTCACCGCGCGACCAGGAGAGCCCAAGAGCTCGAAGGCAGCCCGGGGAGGCTTTACCGAAGGCGGCTTAATACGCCCGCGAGAGGGCAACACAGACACAGACACACAGACACACAGACACACAGACACACAGACACACAGACACACAGACACACAGACACACAGACACACAGACACACAGACACACACACACACACACACACACGCGCACACACACACACACACATACACACACACACACACTGCAAAACCGAAGGGGCCCCAAGGACACACAAAAAAGTACACGAATCCCAGGATTCCCCATATTTGTCCCTACGTTATGGGTTTTGTCTCCCCCCCACTTCCTATATTTTCCCACCTCTTCCTGGGAATCGACGATTCACTGCATCTGTGTGGTTTCCCATCCTGAAAAACATAAAAGTTGTCCCGTCCCACGCGTTGAGCGTAAGATGCCCAGGCATCGCCTCAAGACGGAGCCCAGATTGCCCAAGATGGCCCCGATGCGTCCCACAAGGGCCCCGAGATGCCACCCAAATCGCATAGCATAGCCCAGCAAGGCGCCAAGATGGCCCCAGGATTGATCCCAGAAGCTTCAGCACGGCCCCGAGAGTCCCCCAGTCGGGGGCGGCCAAGAGGGGGGCGTCCAAGAGGGGGCGCCCAAGAGGGCGCGGCCAGCGGCACGTGCATGGCCCAGCGGTTGGCCAGGGAACGCATTGAAATAAGAACAGGCGCCACGAAATCTGGGGAGATGTCATGGCCCACGCCATGATACCCACCCGCCCTGTTCATCCCCTCCCTCTCTGCCGCCCCCGACCCAGACGGCCCAGAGATAGCCCTGGAGGCCCCAGGATGCCCCCGGGAAGCCCCGCGACGCTCCCCAGCTGCCCCCGTGTAGGCACACAGTGGCTTGGCCTTGGGGCTAGGTCGGGCATGTCCCCCTACATGGGGATTTTGGACGGAAAATCTAAAAGATTCAAAACTGTCCAAGAGTTTCCCCAAATAGTCCAGCAATCGTCCCCAGACTACTGTTTGACTGCTTTTGAATATGCCTCCTGTAGAGGGACAGGCCCGACTTAAACTTGGGGGCTGGCGGCAGAAGGCTCAGTCCTTCAGATTTGTCATACTATCATCACCAAAACCCCCGACGTATTGTCTTCCAACGGCGTGGTAGTGCTTGACTGTCCCGGGGCCCAGTGGGAACCCCTCATACGTAGGCTGAAAATTGCCCAAAACCTTCCACAGTGTGCTCTGCTCGTTTTGGGAAGGAGAAGGACGACGACAACGACTATGATTAAGTCGGGTCTGCCCCTCTTAAGGGGGGGGTATTCCAGAACAGTCACGGAATCGTCTGGGGATGATGTGCTGATTGTTTGTTGACCATTTGGGGGGTGGTAGTTCTGAAAGATCTTTTGTTTTTCGTCCAAAATCCCCCTGTAGGGGGACAGGCCCGACCTAAGGCTAGGAGCCTGTTTTTTTTTGGATTCGGGCAAGTTTACTTGTATGGCGTTCGCCCCCCCCCCCCCCCCCCCCCTCGCCCCTCTTCAAGCGAATACTAGCGTGCAAGTGCCTTTCGACTTGCGTGACTTCCGCACCCCCCCGAACGTGCAAGTCGTTTGCGGCTTGCTTCAGGCTCAGCCCCCCCCCCGTCCATGCAAGTAAACTTGCCAGAGTCTGAAAAAAAAACAGGCTCTAGGAGGGCGACGAGGAGCCTCCTGGGCTGGTAGAGCAGCAGGTCGACGGCGTGGGCAGCGACCGCAGCGAGTCGTCCAAGCCGCCTCGCGCCGGGCCCGTCGGCGCCGCCCTCGGCCTCCTCGACGTCGTCTTCGACGCCTCCTCGTCGGCGTTCTCCTCCTCCTCCACCTCCTCTTCGTACATCCTTCTCCTCCTCCTCCTCCTCCTCCTCCTACATCCTCCTCCTCCTCCTCCTCCTCCTCCTCCTCATCCTGCTTCATCCTTCTCCTCCTCCTCCTCCTCCTCCTACATCCTCTCCCATCCTGTTACATCCTCCTCCTTCTCCTCCTTCTCGTCCATCCGGGAACTGGAAGGAGTGGTGATGGGCAGGAGCCCGGGGCTGGAGGAAGGGCGGGTGGACACGGGGCAGGATCTGAGACCCTGAACAATAGACCTGGTAGAGTGAAACGGCCCAGCAAATGATGGTCCCTGCCCTGCTGTGCGAAGTCCGATGCAATAAGAAACTCGGACTGACAATGCATCGTGGGGACCCGGGTCACAAAACACAACCAACCAAACGGACCCACTCAATCAAGATATAACTGCACGGTTTCCACCGGGGCCGTTGGCGACCCGAGGAGGAGGAGGAGGAGGAGGAGGCGGAGGAGGAGGAGGTGGAGGGGGAGGGGGAGGGGGAGGAGGAGGAGATGGAGGAGGAGGTGGTGGTGGAGGAGGAGGAAGAGGAGGAGGAGGAGGAGGGAGGAGGAGGATCGCAATGTAGCGCTAATGCCCTTGAGGGTAGGCATGACCCTGTCAGTCGGATGGGGCACATAGGCTCGCCCATCCTTGATGCGGTGCTCGTGAAGGTTGGGGTGACAACCCTTGTGGTCCCAGAGCCTGGGCGGGAAACCGTTAGGCACCGTGTACTGGTGGGTGGTACGTGTGGTGGACATACCCGAGACAGCCACCTCTGTTCGACACATTCGATTAGGCGGTGGGGGCTTCGCGACAGGTCACATCGCCGCCTACCCAGCAATTTATGAGGCGCGAAGCGTGTCACATCGTCTGGTCGGAGGATGAACTGGTATCCTCCAGAATAGCGTCAGACGCAGACTCCGTAGCCATGTAGGGAGGTCCTGTGGAAGCTTACTGGGTGCTACAAGGTCAGGGCGGCTTGCTACCCCTAGCCAGTGCACCTGTGAGCGCGGTCCAGCTAAGCGGTGTAATGAAGATGCCTGAGGGGGGGGCACGATTTGTCCGCCCCACCGGTCGCAACAACTTAGAACCAGAGCGTGCGGCAGCGGGCGAGTGATAGAGTCCGAATCGCTCTTTGCTGCCACGAGGTCGAAGCGACAGCAGGACACCGGTGAGCTGCCCAGCTAGCCGGCGTTCTGCAGATGCCCCAAAGGGGGCGCGAATTGTCCTCCCCACAGGGCGCAGCCGTAAAGCACCGGTGAGCTGTCCAGCTAACCGGTGTCCTGCGGGTGCCGTGGGGGGGCAGGATTTGTTCGCCCCACGGGGTGCTGCCGCAGTGCACCGGTGAGCTGTCCAACTAACCGGTGTTCTGAAGGTGCCTGAGTGGCGGGCACGATTTGTCCTCCCCACCGGCCGCAACAACCTAATTACGTAGGTCCAGCACGTGCGGCAGCGGGTGATTACGGATATGCCGGCGCGCCCCAACCTAGCGATCGCGGCTGGGCCGTGACGCCCAAACCGAAGCAGATGCCCCCGAACCTGCCAGGAAATTCGCGATACCGAATGTTGTCGCTGAGGGTGCTTGGGGGGCTCTTGTCGCTCCTCGTGGGGAGCACGGCCGATCCCCAGTCACGTAGAATAATCATATCGATCAGCTGAGTGCGCAACGAGCGCTGGATTGGAGGCGGAATCGGAGGGACCCGTCGTGGCCTTTGCTTGCTGCCACTGCCGTGCCACGTAACGGTTATAGACAGCGAAGGGGGGCCCCAGAAATAACTTGATGCCGTAAGCCACGAAGATGGGTATATTTACCCAGGACCGCCGACTCAGTGTCCTGGCGGGCAGACCAAATTCTTAGTGAGGCGAGGTAGGTGTGCAAGAACGCCGGCATTGCCGCCGGGCGGTGTCCTGCAGGTAAACACCTCCGACGTGGCGAATGAAAGCACCCTTCCCGGCTTTGTCGCCGGGCTGTGCCACGGAACAGCATGTCCCGTAAGGAGGGGATGGTGTGCAGGACCGCCGGCGTTGCCGCCAGGCTGTGTACTGGAGGTCAGAGCCTCCGACGCGACGATTAAAAAATGCACAACCGGCACTGTCGCCAGTCCGTGACCTGAAAGCATTTGCCTCGAAGGGGGGAGGATGTGAAGGACCGCCGGCATTGCCGCCGGGCTGTGCCCTGGAGGGTAGAACCTCCGACGTGCCAGATTGAAACAATTGCATTCAATATCGCAGGACCATGTTCTGGAGGCAGGTGCCTCGCAGGGACGGGTAACTGCAGGACCGCCGGCATTGCCGCCCGACTGTGTCCTGGAAGGCAGAATCTCCGATGTGAAGGTAGCTCCGCCGGCATTGACCCGGGCCTTCTCCTGGAAGCACGAGCCTCGCGAACTAATATGAAGATGTGCAAGACCGCTGGCATTGTCGCCAGGCTGTGTCCTGGAGGTCATACCCTCCGAATTGACCAAAACGACCACAATGACGCCGTCGGCATTGCCTCCGGGTTGATTTCGGAATAGCCGTATACGCGGGGATGCACGGCTGAGTGTGCAGGACCGCCGGCATTGCCGCCAGGCTGTGTCCGAGGGGGCGAAACCTCCGACGTGTCGATTGACAAAATCAGCGCCCGCACTGTCGCCAGGCCGTGTCCTGGAGACGCGTGCCTCATGAAGAAGGCGTGTAGGACCGCCGGCATTTCCGCTGGGCTGTCCTGGAGGTCAGAACCTCCGACGAGCCTGATGAAAACGAGGGCCAGCAAAATCGCTGGACCGTGACCTGGAGCACGTGCCTGGAAGGGAAGATAAGTGCAGGACCGCCGGCGCTGCCGCCGGGCTGTCCTGGAGGGCAGAACCTCCGACGTGGACATGGTTCCGCCAGCACGATCTTGAGGCCATGTCCTTGAGGCACATGCCTCGCACCAGGAAGTGCGAATGTGAAAGGCCGACGACATTGCCGCCGGGCTGTGTCCAGGAGGTCTGACCCTCCGAATTGGCCAAATGACGAGCAAGCCGTCGGCATTGCCAAGGGGCTGCTTACGGAAAAGGCGGGGGCCGAGCACCCACCAGAACGTCGGACCGAACGAAAGCTTCACCGAGGGCCCCCCCGAGTGCATCCTGCCAAAGGTGGCCCAGAGTACGAGCCACCGGCCTAAACATCAGTGTTGAGCCACATAGCGGAGCTGAGGAGGGGGAAGGAGTAGGGATGAGGTTGGGGAGCTCATCCTCGTCCTCCTCGCTCCTGGGCGCGGTTATCTTCATTGGACACCTCTCTGGTGCCTTTGCCCGCAGGGTGTAATGCGCCACAGAGCCGCCAGCCACGGTGAACCCGCCAGCATTCCACTGCTCTCTCCGTGTTGCAGCGCGTTGGGTGCACGAAACGTGTGAGCATCCTCCGAATCCTCCGAGGTCGAGGGGAGGTAGGAGGACGGAGGAGGAGGAAAAGGAGGAGGAGCACGGGTCGTCGAAGCCCTTCAGAGAAACCCTCCAGATGTAACATCCTTCGATGCCGAGTGCTTCCGAAAACTCTTCTTGTGCAACGGCCTCGCGTGAGACGGTATGTATGTTCGCTGCTCCCGCCCCGCGTTGGCTCAGAAACCGAGCTCCGGGCCTGCGCCACTGGCTCCCTGGGGATAGTTACACCACGCCTTCAAGAACACGCGAGAGAACTCCCACTGCCCGATGCACATGGGATTCCTTAGGTTCAAGCCTCCCATTCGCTACTCCGAACAGGGGATTCGGGAAACCCTGAACCCCAAAAGGCTGCGACCTCTTGGGAGGTCGACGTTTGCTTCCGCCGGCTTCCGCCAACCTTCTGCCAGCTTCCGCCGGCGGAGACGGTCTCGCCTAACGGTTGTGGATGCCATGACAATGGACACTCTAAAAATCCGATCATTGAATTAAATATGTGTTTAACATGTGCAAAACATGTTCTAACAATGTTTCAAACATGTTTTTACATATGGAAAAACACGTCTGAAACATGTTTTAGACATCTGGAAAGTATTTGGCAACATGCTTCCTCTCCATTGATCGTCCTCCACAACTTGACTTCCGCCACCCGTCGCCGGCCCTCCACCGCCGAGTAAGAGATGGCAACTCCGTCGATCCTCGAGGGCAAGGCCAGTACAGTGCGGGCGCGGCCGCAAGAAACCCTCACCGGAAACCCAATCCTGAATCCCCGCGCTCCGAAGAGAGATGGCCAACCCGAAGTCCCCCCCCCCGCCAGCCCACACAAACCACTCCATTCCTGCAGCGCGATAGCTTGGACGCCCGAAATGGGTTCGGAAGAAATGGGCTCAATGCCCACCAACAAATGTTATCCAACAACGACAGCGGCCGCTGTTGTGAGGGCAGGTGGCCTTCTGCCCCGAATGGACAACGCCCGCAGCAGCGCGGACAGCGAGCCGTGTGCAAAATGAACAGGAACTGCGGTTGTAGGGGAACGAAAAATGACATAAACGTAGAAACTCTGAGGTCCGCGCGGATTCCTCGGATCGGCGCTGGACCCCCCTCCCTGGTGCGCGGAGCGCGCCGGGGGCGGCGCCGGAGGCGCCGCCCGGGGGCCCCAGCTCGGCTCCGAGAGGTCCGCGTGGAGCTCCGAATTTTCTGTTTACGTCATCCTCTGTTCCCCTATTGGCCGGCGAGATGGGGTCGGAGCAGATGGTGGCGAAGGATCGCGCCGCATCACCAATGCATCGGCGGCGTCGGCGACGCATCGGGGACGCCGGCGTGGGGAAAATCGAGCTCCACATGGAGCCGCATCGGCGATGCATCGCCGAGGCATCGGCGATGCGGCACGATCCTCCGACCCCGTTTACTCCGACCCAATCTAGGAGGCCCAGACCTATGTTGGGCATCGTACCCATTATTTCCGTACCCAGTTCGATCGTGCCGAGATATCGTGGAGACGCTCAAGCAAACATGATCGACCCACGAGCCCGGAAAGGAATATAGACATGTAAGGCATGGCAACGTTTCAAAGACGCCTGATTGGGGGACGGGCAAACGCAATGCTGAGTGTATCGACCTTGATGTACCGTGCCGAGGGCTGTGCTGTGCAGCGCTGTGCTGAACTGCGATGTGCCATGCCGCGATTGTGTTCTATAGCGTTGTGGATCGAGTCCTCCTTTGCATCCGAGTCCTGACCGAACTGATCTGGATCTTAAGCTCGAGCTGCCTCAGCACGTAGTAGCTGCCCCAGAGCTAATTGATAAGGGAACATGCCAGGAGGACGCGCCGCGGAACGTCCTAAGGGACGCGCCAGGCGACGTGCCAGGGGACGTACCACGGGGACGCACCGCGGGACGTGCCGAGGGGACGCGCTACGGAACGTGCCAATGGACGTGCCACGGGACGTGCCAGTGGACGCGCCGCGCGACGTGCCAGGGGGACTCGCCACGGGGGCCACGGAACGTGCCAGGTTGCAATGCTGAAGGTATCGACCTTGATGTACCGTGCCCAGGGCTGTGCTGTGCAGCGCTGTGCTGAAATGCGATGTGCCATGCCGCGATTGTGCTCTATAGCGTTGTGGATCGAGTCCTCCTTTGCATCCGAGTCCTGACCGAACTGATCTGGATCTTAAGCTCGAGCTGCCTCAGCACATAGTAGCTGCCCCAGAGCTAATTGATAAGGGAACATGCCAGGAGGACGCGCCGCGGAACGTCCTAAGGGACGCGCCAAGCGACGTGCCAGGGGACGTACCACGGGGACGCACCGCGGGACGTGACGAGGGGACGCGCTACGGAACGTTAAAATGCGTGGTCCTTGCTCGGGGCAACCATGTTAGATATCCCCTTGGATGGCCTGGACACCTAAAAACACATGGTGCCAGCTCGGGAAACCATGCCATATACACCCCAGAATAGCCTGGATTCGTTACAACACGGGGTCATTGCTCATAAGAATCATGTTAGATACCCCTCTGGGTGGCCTGGATACGTAAAAACACGTGGTTCAAGCTCGGGACAATCACACGTAAAAACATATGGCTCCAGCTCGGGACCACCATGTTAGATACCTCCCTGGGTGGCCTGCACACATAAAAACATGTGCTCCAGCCCACCCAGGGGGGATATCTAACATGCGGTCGTCTGGAGCGCAGGAGGGCCCAAGAACGCCCAGAGGCGCCTGGAGGCCAACAAATACACGAACCGATACCAAATACAAATCAACTCTCGACGTTCCGTTCCGAGTCCCAGGAAAGATCCAGGAGGCCCATGCTAGATACCCACCTGGGTGGCCTGGACACGTGAAAACACGTGGCTCCAGCGCGGGACCACCATGTTAGATACCTCCCTGTGTGGCCAGGACACGGAAAAAACGTGGTACCAGCTCGGGACCACAATGTTAGAGACCCACCTGGGTGCCCTGGACGCGTGAAGGGACGTGGTTCTAGCTCGGGCAGAACGTGTTAGATGCCCCCCTTTTGCGGCCAAGGAAATCCTGGCAGAACAAACGAATTAGTCGAGACATCCTCTAAATTCCTGCGCGAGGGACGCGGCACGCGCGAGACATCCTCGGAATTCCTGCGAGCGGGACGTGAAAACAAGCATTTCGCCTGAGACATCCTCTGAAGTCTGGCCCCCACGAGGCCCCCGCTCGAGACATCCCCCAACTCTGCAAAACCAGCGTTTCGCTCGAGACATCCTCAGCAATTTCTGAAAACATTACCCAGGGACGTACCCAACCCTTTGGCAACAAGTGGCATTATCAACTGCCGCTTTCAAAATAGCTGAACATCCGCTGGACGTCCAAGAGGCCCACGAAAGCGACGACCATTGCATTCTTGGCGTCTCAGGAGCCCACGAAAGTGCCGACAGTTGCGCAGTTGGCAGCTCCCCCCGCAGGGAGCCGCGAGGTCCCGACGCGATCCGCGTGTAACCCCACTCCGCTGGGCCCAGGAGCCCACGAAAGGACCGACAGTTGCGCAGTTGGCAACTCCCCCTGCAGGGAGCCGCGAGGTCCCGACGCGATCCGCGTGTAACCCCACTCCGCTGGGCCTCCCAGGAGCCCACGAAAGTGCCGACAGTTGCGCAGTTGGCAGCTCCCCCCGCAGGGAGCCGCGAGGTCCCGACGCGATCCGCGTGTAACCCCCACTCCGCTGGGCCTCCCAGGAGCCCACGAAAGTGCCGACAGTTGCGCAGTTGGCAGCTCCCCCCGCAGGGAGCCGCGAGGTCCCGACGCGATCCGCGTGTAACCCCACTCCGCTGGGCCTCCCAGGAGCCCACGAAAGTGCCGACAGTTGCGCAGTTGGCAGCTCCCCCCGCAGGGAGCCGCGAGGTCCCGACGCGATCCGCGTGTAACCCCACTCCGCTGGGCCTCCCAGGAGCCCACGAAAGTGCCGACAGTTGCGCAAGATCGCAGGAGGCGACAGATGCGCATATCGCAGCCCCCCAGAGGGCGCCGCGAGGAGGAGGTAGGAGGCAGGAGGGAGGTGGGCGGGAGGACGGGGCGACCAGAGTGCTCTACTCAAAACGAGTACCCAACCAAGGGAGGGTTGGGAAAAACTAGCGTTTCGCCTGAGACTTCCTAAAAAACATAGTTCCGCCGGCCTCCTTCAAGCTCGTCATTTATCGCAAAATAGTTCCGCCGGCCTCCTTCAAGTCGACACCGGGGGCAAACCAACTAGAAGAGAACCCTGGGCCTAAGCCCTCTCCGGGAATACTTCCGCCGGCCTCCCTCGAGTCGACACCTCGGGGGGTAGCAATACGAAAAGAGAACCCTGGGCCTAAGCCCTCTCCGGGAATACTTCCGCCGGCCGCCCTCGAGTCGACACCCCGGGGGGTAGCAGTACGAAAAGAGAACCCCTGCTGGGCCCCCGCCCCTTCCGGGAAACACTCGGCGGCGCGCGGGCACCCCGCCCGGGGAGCCCCGCTCGAGGCGCTTCGCCCGGCGAGAATGCAGGTGCGCGGGCGCGCCCGCGGGCCCCGCGAGGGCCAAGAGAGGCTCCAATGGCCGCTGCCACCCCTCCCCCTCCTCCTCCTCCTCCTCCTCCTCCTCCTCCTCCTCCTCCTCCTCCTCCTCCTCCTCCTCCTGCTTATCCTCCTTCTCCTCCTCCTCCTCCTCCTCCTCCTCCTCCTCCTCCTCCTCCTCCTCCCGCTCCTCCCCCTCCCCCTCCCGGGATCTGTACAGATGATCCCTGGCTTCCTGGCCGGGCCCACCCTGAACCTCTGCCTCCCTTAATAGTGCGACGGGATCTGTACAGCTGCTCCACGTTATGAGGAAACTCCTGGAGGCCTCGCGCGGCAACTTGAGACCCGATGTACGTCGGGTTCGCGTCGGGCTGCGTCAGAATCAGGTCGGACGTGCGTCGGACTGGCGCCGGAGCATCGCCGCGCGAGCGTCGACCCATAGCTGACGGAGCTGACGTATGGACTAGATCATACAGCTACCACGCGCCGCGCGAGGCCTCCAGGATTTCCCTCATAGTCCACGGCTCCCTTAGAGAAGGACCCTTAGATAAGGAATCCAGGGCCTGGATAAGGGACAAGGGGCCCTTCGACAAGAGTCCAGGGACAAGGGAGCCTTGGATGAGGAGTCCAGGGTCTGGAGGCTGGTGGACCTTCATCTGAGACTTGGCCAGGGAGATCACCGCCACTCTCATCAGATAAGATCGGATGAGGAACCCTCCAGCGGAACAGTCCTTGACGAGCGCCCTCACCGTGTGCACACCCGCGCCCTCACGGTCTGGATGCTGGGGCGCGAGCCCGTGGATGCGCGGCCTCCGCGCGGGACTTCCTCGAAAAACCCGCACCCACGGGATCGCGGCCCGCGAGGCCGTGGACGTGCACACGTATGCCTCCCCTCCCGCGAGGGCGCGGCTGTCTGCGAAGGGGGTCCCGAGACGGCGCGCACGGATCGTGCCTCCCGCCAAAGGTAGGGCGGATGCGTCCGCGAGGGGGTCCGGCAGCGCCAGGGCTGCCCAGTCGCCGATCCCCGATCCTCGAGCCTGCTCGAGCCTCGAGCCTGCTCGAGCCTCGAGCCCCGAGGCCCACCCGAACCCCGAGCCTCCCGAGGCCTACTCGAGCCTCGGACCTCGATCCCTGATCCTCGACCCTACACCTCGAGCCTCGCAGTCCCGGGGCGCCGGGGCCGCTCGGGGGGGGGGGAGGAGGGGGAGGAGGAGGAGGAGGAGGAGGAGGAGGAGGAGGAGGAGGAGGAGGAGGAGGAGGAGGAGGAGGAGGAGGAGGAGGAGGAGGAGGAGGAGGAGGAGGAGGAGGAGGAGGAGGAGGAGGAGGAGGAGGAGGAGGAGGAGGAGGAGGAGGAGGAGGAGGAGGGGGGGGGGCGCCTTCGGCGCACAAGTTCGCCAGGCTGCCAGATCGCAGCTGCACCGCGCCGTCTGTGATCACCTGGCTTCCCGCGCGCGCGCGCCCGCTCGCGCCCTGCGACGGCAGCGACGCCGACGAGGACGACCGCGCCGACGAGGCTCACGACGAAGACGACGGCGTCGCGCGCGCAAGGTCGTCTCAGAACCCCGTGTGCCTGCTAGCCCGAGATGGGCCCCTTGCGAACAACGCATGGCAGGTGGCCGACGACGTCAACAACGACGAGGACGACGGCGATGACAGTTTTTTTGTTAGGCCTAGGGCCTCGTCGTGGCCACGGCTGGATCCGCCTCGAGATCTTCGGCAGGGCGCAATCCTGGGGACGTCGTGGGGACGACGACGACGTCGAGGTCCACGGCCACGGCGACGACGCTGACGACGAGGGCGACAGCGAGGACGACGGCTTTCCTTCTGGAGCGCCCGCGTGGCGAAAATTCAGCTAGCCGACAGAGGTGGCCGTAGGCCATGTTGACCTGGAGTGCGCGGCTTGCCGATGGGTTGCCTGCGATGCGACAGCAGGGGCATGCGTGCTGCGTGCTGGGGCTATTAGATCGGGCATGTCCCCCTACAGGCGGATTTTGGACGAAAAATAAAAAAGTAGTCAACAATAGTCAAACAATAATAGAAAAATCGTCCCCTGATAATTTTTCCAATTTTTGAATATTCCTTCAGTGGAGGGTCGTGCCCAACGTAAGTCTCGAGGGAAGCGCGTCCTGGACACAGTGGCCTTCCTTCCCAAGGCCAGCTGCTCATCCTGCCGAGTCGTTTTCCCACGGACCCTAGGCCCGCGGAGTGTCCTGGGAGCCCGACAGCGGTGACGAGAACCGCTTGGCCCGTTTCCTCAGAACCGGATTGCTCAACGGCGGACTGTTACGTCTAGCCGGAGGCTGTGGGAGGCCCCTAAGCCCTCCGACAGTGAGACACACCTCGGGCCCCCGCTTCCTCTGATTGCTCCACGGCGGACTCCTGCGTTTATGAATGGGCCCAGGGCCACGCAAACGCATACTCACAACTATCAGGATTCCCTCTATGTTTCCATACCTTTTTGGTCTTCGACTTCCCCCCCACTTCCCATAATTTGCTCATGGTTTCTGGGAATCGACGATCACTTGTGTCCAGTGAGATCGACGACCAATCGACTTCCCATACTTTGCTCCTGAGTTTCGCCGCAGAAGCCGTGGCTGGTGAGGCTTCGGCCCGCGTGCCGGCCGCACCCTCGGGTAGCCCCGGCGGGCCTCGACGGCCCCCCCCCCCCCGAGAAGCCCCGGCTGGCCGCAGCAGGCTCGCCGAGCACGGCCGGACCTAGGGCAGAAGAACATCCGTCCCCAGAGCGCGAGACCCTCCGCCGGCCAAAACGCAGAGAGCATCCAAGGGCAGCTACCCTCCCAGGGATGCAAAAGGGCACCCAACAAACACACGAAGAACATCAGGGCACCCTCCCCGAACCGACCTCGATCGTATACCTCGGTCCGGCCGTCGTACCCGAACCCTGGGGCGCGGAGCGCCCCAGGGGCGTCGCCCGAGGCTGCTGGTCTTCGCGCACGCCCTGCGGATCCTCCCTGGCCTTATGTTGCATCCTCGGGGGACCTTGCCTGTCCCGTCGCGACCCTATCCGCGTCGAATCTGTGTCGAATCCATGTCGGACTCGTCGGACCCCGTGTCGAATCCGTGTCAAAGTCGCGTCGAATCCACGCCAGATTCGCGTCGAGTCCGCATCGAACCCACGTCGGGCACAAGAAAAGACACCAACTTTGGGGACAGGCGAGGTCCCCCGAAGATGCAACATAACTGGCCCTCTAGCGATGAACTGAACAAAACAGGCATACACAAACGGCCGGACCTGGGGCAAAATAACACCCCTCCACAACAGGAGGTCCTCCGCCAGCCAAGCTGAAGAGCATTCGAAGGTACCCCCCCAGGATGCACAAGACCATCCATAGGGGGCAAACAGACCTACCTCGCTTTTGACCACCCTCGCTTCCAAGAGATACCAAGCGATGCCAAACTACGGCCTGTACTGGTCAGGCCGCTTGACGAGGAGGCGCGTGGTATGATTTGGTTTTGCCTGGAAGCGAAAGCGGGGTAGGTAATTCACGCTCTGAATCCAACAAACACAAATTACATGAGGATGCCCTCCCCGAGCCGACCTCGATCTTGTACCTAGGTCCGACCATGATCCCTCCAGCCCTCGAACGTGGCGACGGTTTCGCAGCTCGCAGGCCCCTAGGGACGGCGAGCTCGAACCTGAAGGGGCCCCAGGACACACAAATAAATACACACAAATCAACAGATTCCCCATATCTTCCCATATTGTTTGGGTTCTCGTCTTCCCCCCCACTTCCCATATTGTCCCATGTTTCCCTATATTTTCTAGGGAATCAACGATTGATTGTGTCTGTGTGTTTTCTTCCCTCCTGAACTCCGCTGGACCCCTCAGCAGCCGTCGAACGTGGCGACGGTCCCGCAGATCGCAGCGCCCCATGGCTCGCGAGACCTCACGACCAGACTCCTGGACCACCACGGCGGCGCCGCTCCTCGAGCCCAATCGACCCGCGAGGGCCCCGGAGGGCCCGAGAGGAGGCCCGTCCGGCACGCCGGGCGCGAACAAAGCTGGAGACGCCGGGCAGGATCTCGGCCCAAGGCGTTCGGTGTCCTGGTTTTTGGCCAAGCGCGGCCTCACAGACGTGGCGTCCGTGATCGACAAAAGAAACAGCTCCTGTGCCGCCCCCACTCGGAATCCTGCTGGGTGCCGTGATCGACAAAAAACCAGCTCCCGTGCCGCTCCCACTCGGAATCCTGCTGGGTGGCGCTGCGTCCTTTTTCGGCCTCCCGAGGGGCGCCACGACGCTCTACCACTCCCGCCACCAGCAGAGCCCCTTGAGGCCGAGAAGCGCAGTCTGATGTCTATCGGGGTGACGCCGTCAGTGCCGATCTGATCTGGCGCGGTCCTTCCGAACTCCCGATGCCTTCCCCTGGACCTGCTTGTCTCACCCCGAGCCGCCCTGTGACGTCCCGCGTTGCCTGTCGAGGGCCCCCAGCGGCCGAGGGCTTAACGCCGGCCCGATATACGCACCGCGCACGCTCGGCGCGAGGCGCTCGCCAGGAGTGTGGGACAGCACGTGCCGGACCAGCACGCGACATGTTACTGAAGGGGCCCCAGGACACACAAGTAAATACACACAGAGAAAAAGATTCCCCATATGTTTCCATATTTTCTGGGTTTCTGTCTTCCCCCCCACTTCCCATATTTTCCCATATTTTCCTGGGAGTCGCCGATTACTTGTGTCTGTGTGTTTCTTCCCCTCCTGAGTCACCACGAACGCTTTGAACACGATGCGTGTTTTCAGCACGGGCGAAGAGCATGTCTTGGCGTCGCGCACAAGAGGGGGTGGAGGGAGAGGGGAAGGCTTCATGGAAGGAGACTGCCTCTCAGGGGGCGCCGGCCTAACATCTCTATGCATATGTGGCCCGCGCCTGCTGAGAAGCGGGGGGTCTGAGAGTTCCTCCCCCCCTCCACCCCACCCCCCTTCCGCGCGCGGGCGCCGGATCCACAGGTCGGGGGAAATACTTCCCCGAGCATGAGGCCAATGCCGCCGTCGTCGCTGTCGCCGTCGTCGTCGCCGTCGTCGTCGTCGTCGTCGTCGTCGTCGTCGTCGTCGTCGTCGTCGTTTGCCTTTCTTTCACTGTCGCGAGCACGCTGCCAAATGAGGAACGGAGGGCCTTTCTGGCCACGGCGGGCCTATGCCACAGCAGGGGGCCCTGCCACAGGGCACCCTCCACAAGAGACCCCCAACCCTGAGACCCCAGGGCGTCCAGGGACGTTTGGTGTGGGAGCGCCGCGCCCTCCATCGCAAAACCATTCAAACCCAGGGGCGACAAATACAAACTATGACGAAAAATACGACATACGAATCGAAAACCCCAGGACTCCTACAGGGGGGTGTTGGACGAAAAATGCAAAATAGACAAACAATACGTTTCACTCAGGACTAAAGGGCAACGATAGGGGGGGGGCATGCATCGACCAGGAATCGGCGATACATCGCCGATAGATCGGCGATGGGCTCCCGACAGCGAATCCACACCTTCCTAGGCGGGGGGGGGCGATCGGGCCCCTCTCGGCGATCAATGCGCGATTTGGGATCGATGCATCCCCCCCTATGCCTCTCCCCCCTGTCGTTGCCCATGAAGGACCCGCTTCCCCAATGGCGATACTATGTCTTCTTAACGTCAAGTCGGGCATGTCCTCCTACAGGCGGATTTTGGAAGAAAAGTGAAGCATCACCCAAAAGTATTCCACCGTAGTCAAAATATCACCCACAGGCTATTTAGGGGGGGCTATCTTTGAATCTGCTTCCTGAAAGAGGGACGTGGCCGAGTTAGTTTTGATGCCTGGCAGGTCTCGCCGGGGTAGCGACGCCGTCCTCGTCGCGCCGCCCCCACCGCCGCCGCCCCTCGGGTCGGGCGTAGAGGGGGGATAGCAAAAGGGGGGGGTGAGACTCAGCTCACGTAGCTGAATTTCCCGGCGCCTCCCGGCGCCGGAGGCGCCCATGTGTCGAGGAATGGGCCCGGCGGCGGGGCCGAAACCAGCTGCACGCATCAGATTTCGTAACCCCCCGTTTCCCTATCCCCCCGTTCGTTCGGCCCGATCCTCCTCCTCCTCCTCCTCCTCCTCCTCCTCCTCCTCCTCCTCCTCCTCCTCCTCCCCCCTTCCTTCTCCTCGTCCTCCTCGTCCTCTTCCTCCTTCTCCTCGTCCTCCTCGTCCTCCTCCTCCTTCTCCTCCTCGTCCTCCTCGTCCTGGCCAGACCCTCCTCCTCGTCCTCCTCCTCCTCCTCCTCCTCCTCCGCCTCCTCCGCCTCCTCCTCCTCCTCCTCCTCCTCCTCCTCCTCCTCCTCTCCCAATCCCCCCCTTTCGTCGGGCCCGATCCCCCCCATGCGGCCGGGGGGGGCGGCGGGGGGTGGCCTTGGGCGCGGGCCTGCGGCGGCTGATGGTCGTGCGGCTGAGCGGCCGGCGGACGCCGGGGGCCTCGCGGGGGGCGCGGGGGGGGGGCGTGCCGTCCGGCGGCGGCCGGCGAGGGGGGAAGCGAGAAAGAGGAGAGGTGAAGTCGGGCGTGTCCCCCATACAGGGGGATTTTCGACGAAACATAAAAGATACTCCAAACAATAAAAACTCCCAAATGGTGAGAAGATACTAAAAAAATGTCCCCATACTGTTTTACTATGTTAGAATATTCCTCCTGTAGAGGGACAGGCCCGACTTACAGGAAAGGCGCGCCCTGAGAAGCTGTTTTTGCTGGTCTTCGGGAAAGGGGGGAAGGCATGCAGTACATCGGCGGCGAGCGAGGGGGAGAAAAAGGAAATGCTCGGGCTCGAAAAAGGCCGCAGAGCTATGGTGTCTGGGGCTCTGTGCGTCATTTTTCTGGCAAGGTTGCAATTTTTGTTCGCAGCGGCGGATCTCAGGGGCTGCCCTGCACGGGCCACGAGGGGATGCCGCGCTCGATCACTTCCTGGCCCTCTAAGCGGGATGGCACCTGCAGCAAGATGCTGTCGGCCCGGAGAGCGACACTGCCAACGTAATGACTCGCCCATGGCCCGCCACATGTCGGCATGGGCTCCCAGCAGGTCGCTGCGAGGCCTTTTTGAGATGGCGGCGGGACTTCTCAGAAGCCCTCGCGCCTTCTGAGAAGCTGTTGCTGGTCTTCAGGGAAGGGGGGAAGGCTCAGAACACTTCTCAGGATGCCTCGGGACTGCCGAACCTTCTGAGGAGACCTTCTCCTCCTCACTTCCCCCCCCCGCTCGCCGCCGAGTCAAATCGCGTGAGAAGGATGGTACACGCCGGTCGGAAGAAGCAGGTAGCGAGGCAGGAAGGCGGAGAGAGTAGATCGGGGTCGGAGCCGCCCCGAATAATCACAAGCAGCAGCCAAGACATATCGATGGCGAGCGTTTTTTTTCATTCGGCGTTTCGACATTGGGCGGAAAGGGGGGGGAGGGGGGTTCTGGTTCCAGACCTCTGCTTAGTGCGACTGTTCGCAAGAGTGCTGCCTCTTGGGGAGACTCCACACGCTCGAAACATGCGCCAACAAACAGCCAAGATCTACTCCATGGGGGGAGAGGGGGGATTGGGCCCGAGCCGATTTGCAAAACAACGAATAAAAACACGATCACGTAGGAAGGCGCTTGAAGCAGAGTGGGCTTGGAAACCAGAAATCCCAACTCTCAACCACCGGCGTGTAAGGATGCAAGTGCCTCGGAGGGCCATGTCGGCGTTTTCGAGCGGGGCTGGCCAGTGAAAGTCGCCGAGGATGGGCCCGAGGGGGCACGGATGCAAGGGCAACCTCGGAAAATTGCTCATCCTTACTGTGCAACTTCATTGAGCTAATGTTATGTCGGGGAGTCGGGCATGTCCACCTACACACGGAATTTAGTCGAAGAGTTCGCAATAGTCAGAACAATGATTCAAACATGCCCGAAAATACTTGAAAAATCGCCCCCATACAAGTTTCTGTTATTTTTGCAGATTCCTCCGGTAGAGGGACGTGCCCGACAATGCTAGAGTCATGTGCTGATGCTGGAGGCGCACGCCCGACACGGACATGCAGTATACATCTCTTGCAGTATATCATAGCCCGAGCGGTGTAGCCAGAAGGCGCTCGCCCCCGAGCATATGCTGTACAGGGGGGCCGATCCACAAGACACCTTCCACAAGACACCCAACCCTGAGACCCCAGGACGTCCAGTGATTTTTGGCGTGGGAACGTCACGTTTTCCATCGCAAAATCATCGAAGCCCAAGAAACCCAGGGCACCCTGGAGGCAAGCAGGGTGTTTGTTGGCATGGGTCTCCAATGTAAGATTCCTCAGCGCGCGCGTCGCCCATGGGGTGCCGACGCACACGCGGTAAAAAAACGTTTCGGTGCTGCCGATCTCGGGAGGTGTGGAGGTTCTGTGTCCGTTCCATGGGATTTGAGCCTGATTTGGACCCAAATGTGGACTGGACCTGGGACCGAATTTGGACTGGATTTGGACCAGAGACGAAAAGAACGAGGGGGGGAGGGGAGGGGAGGGTGGGAGGTAGCACCCGTGCGATCGGAAAATGCAGATCGGGTGAGCTGGCCCGAAGGCGCTTCACGGTGCACCCGCAGCTGAGGCCGAAGCCAAAGCTGAAGTGCACAGAATAGTGGAGAAGGCACACCCTGCAGGTTCGGTTGACAGCACATGTTGAGCGGTGCTGCAGCCTCCCAAGAAAGAGAGAGAGAGAGAGAGAGAGAGAGACGAGAAGAACGAGGAGGAGGAGGAGGAGGAACAGGAACGGCGAGGAGGAGCAGGAGGCCCATCTGCGGTTCAAATGCGGTCAACATGCAGGAAAAGCTGATTTCCATGTCGTCGCCCAAGGCTCCCATGAACAGACAGCGAGAGGAGGGCAGGGGGAGCCCCCAACCCTCGTATACGGCCAGGAACCTTTGCACCCTCAGATCCTGCCGATGCATGCTTGTCAAAGCAGGCGGTGTCGCCAAATTTCGGCACCCTGGGCCCTCATGTATCGAGCTGGCTCGAACGGAGGGACGTGCTGCAGCGGATTGTTGCGTGGAGTTCTGACAATGCAAGCCCCGAAACGGCGAGCAAAAAAGCGAAATTAGTTTCACATGGATTTGTTGTACCATTCATTCCTGGCCAAGACAAATCCGCACACAATTCGAAATCCGGAACGAAATGCTCCAGGATACTGCGGGCCCATCCTATTGTTTTCCGAATGAAATGCGCTCTGTGATGTTGGGACCATGACAAAGAAAGATGACATCCAGGGCTTGGAAGTTTAGCAACGAATGTGCGCGGCGCTAAGGCGAGAGCCACATTTTGAGAACCACCCGCACTCCATCTGTAAAACTATTGCCAATGTTGAAGCTTCAGGGTCACAAATGGTGAGGAAATCCCCAGCGAAACGCCTGGCCCGCCCTTGCGACCAGCCTCGGGATGCGACAGGAAGAGTTACTCATAAGGAGAAGGAATGGAGGAGGAGGAGGAGGAGGAGGAGGAGGAGGAGGAGGAGGAGGAGGGGGCGGAGGAGGAGGAGGGGGAGGAGGAGGGGGAGGAGGGGGCGGAGGAGGAGGAAGGCGAGAGGAGGGGCAGAGGAGCGCACCACTCTTTCAAAATGATGACGCGTCAGATTTAGGTCGGGCATGTCCTCCTACAAGCGGATCTCGGAAGAAAAATAAGCAATAGTAAAAAAAGCCTCGGAAGTAGTCAAAAGAGCAGAACAAAACGGTGCCAGACTACTTCTGTTCTGAAGTATTCCTCCTGTAGAAGGGCATGCCCGACTCAAAGATAATTGAGTCCCCTCCCCCGGCCACTTGCGAGGAAGGGGGGGGGGCGGCTCATAACTCTGGTCTCTGAGGCCGCCAGGGACGATCCCAGCACCCTGGGAACGTTCTCGGCGAGGCACGGCTGCTGGAGAACATCCCCAGGCGGGATATACCCCCCCGGAGGAGGAGAGAGGGAGGGAGGGAGGGAGAAAGGGAGGAGAAAGAGCAGGGAAGAGGGGACGAGAGGATGAGGAAAGAGGGAGGACGAGTCAGGATTAGGATACGGAGGAGCAGGAGGACAATGAGGGAGGGAGAGGATAAGGATGAGGAAGAGGAGGAGGAGGAGAAGAAGACGCAGAAGGAGGAGGAGGAAGGGAACGGGGAGGAGGACAAGGACAAGGAGGAGGGGGACGAGGAAGAGGAGGAGTACAGAGGAGTCAGGATGAGGAAGACGACGAGGACGAGGAGAAGGACGAGGACAATGAGGATGATGAGGGAGGACGAGGACGAGGAGGAGCAGAAGGAGGAGGAGGAGGAGGAGGAGGAGGAGGAAGATGAGGAGGATGAAGAGGAGAAGGCGAATGAGGAGCCTGCGCGAGGGGGTCTGCTCCAGCAACGGCGCTCTTGATCTGAGCCGCCAGGCCTCCGGCGATGCTGGAGCTCCTCTGGGGCGCCACAGCCGACGAGGCGACGGGGGAGCTCAGGGGGGAGGGGTAGGACGAGGAGGAGGAGCAGGATGAGGGGAGAAGGAGGGGCAGGCGGATGAAATGCAGAAAGGGGGGCGAGGACAAGGCAGGCGAAAATTCACGTGGGGACAGGGTTGAGTGAGAGCAAGAGGGATGAGGGAGGACGAGGAGGAGGAACAGGAGGAGGAAGAAGAGGAGGAGGAGCAGGAGGAGGAGGAGGAAGCGCAGGATGATGAGGCACAGCGTGCGGAAGCAAGCGAATTAAGAGGAGGAGGACGGGGAAGAGGAGCCCGAGGAGGGGAGGAGGAGGAGAAGGAGGAGGAGGAGAACGAGGAGGAGAAGGAGGAGGAGGACCAGCGTAAAGCCAAGAATCATCAACGATGTTGGAATTAACCCTCCCCCAAGCTCCCTCTTCATAGGCCCCTACAACGGTTCATTCCCATTGAGGGAACTGCCGCGTTGGAAGACAACCGTTTGAATGTCCTGAAGCATGCCAAAATATTGTTCTCGTGATTTCACGGCCACGTATCAACCTGACTGCTGCGTCTTCACGATCCAGAATGGTGCCATAATGCCATTTTTGGGACTTCAACACCGCGAATCAACATGACGGTTGCACCCACATTATCCAGAATCCTGCCAAAACACAATTCCTGGTACGTTGATCATGGGAGTCCGTGAAATTCTTGCACATTTGAAAACGAATGTGCGCGGAGCTAAGGCAATATCCACAATTTGAAAAAAAGAAGCCGCCCAAAATCCGTCAAATTCTTGCACATGTTTAAAACGAAAATGCGCGGCGCTAAGGCGAGAACAACAGTTTGAATTCTTGCAAACGTTTGAAACGAATGTGCGCGGCGCGAGAGCGATAATCAAATTTTGAAAGCGACCCGCCCTCAATCCGTGAAACTCTTGCAAACGTTTGAAACGAATGTGCGCGGCGCTAAGGCGAGTGCCACACTTTGAAAACCACCCGCCCTCAATCCGTGAAACTGTTGTCACTTGTAAAGCTTCAGAACTATAAATGGTGAGGTAGTCTCAGGCGAAGCGCCCGGCCCTTCCTAAAAACTGGCCTCGGGGTGCGACAGGGAGAAGTTATCTACAAGGAGAAGGAATAGAGGAGGAGAGGAGGAGGAGGACGAGGAGGAGAAGGAGGAGGAGGAGGGGAGGGGCTGGTGAAAACATGGGGAGGTGGATGGCATTTGGTTGTTGAAGAGAGGATGGGGTGGGATGAGAGGGAGCTGATCTGATTCTGATGAGAGGAGGGGGAAAGTGAGAAGGAGCCTTGATATCCTCGAGGATCTCGAGGCGGACCAAGCCGTTCGGTGGCGACTGGGGCCCCTGCAAGAGCCCCAAAGAGGTCAAACGCGCTTGCAATTCGTTCCTCGCCGCACCGACGTCATCCGACCGAAAGCCGCCTCCAAATCGCCACATATCCGGCGGGCCCATCCTGACGAGTTCCCCACCCCCGACCGATCTCCGGCGGCCCCAGGCCCGGGCAGAACGACCCCTGGAGGCAGAACGTCTTGGACAGACTTGCAGCCGTCGAGACCGAGGACAAACTTACAAACGTAGAACGTCGAGAAACGTCGTGGTCGTCGTGGTCGTCGTGGTCGTCGTCGTCGTCATCGTCGTCCTCGTCGTCATCGTCGTCCTCGCCGTCGTCCTCGTCGCCGTCGTGGTCGTGGTCGTGGTCGTGGTCGTCGACGGAGTCGCCTGCCATGCGGCACCTCCGCGCGACGGCGCTCCCCGCCCAGTCCTGAGCATGGTGTGCTCCCTCTTGAAGTCGGTCGCGTCGGCTGCCTCCGACATCGGGGGTGCCAGGGAGATGGGGAAGGAGGAGGTCGAGGAGGAATACGAGAATGAGGAGGAGGAAGGGTGATCTGGGGAAGAGGGGGGGGGAGAGGGAGCGCGGGAGCAGGAGGAGCGGGAGAAGGAGATCTGCTGATGGCGTGTATGCTACTGGCGCGCTTTTTCCAACCAGGCAGACACGCTCAAGGCGCGAGAATCATCGGAGACGACCCTGGGCCACCAACTCTACACTTGAGTACCCTTGCGTGCAGTGCCGGCACGCGCCGAAAAGCTCGATCCAACGTTGCAGACGGAGGAGAAGAGAACGAATGTATGGGAAGAGAACGAATGGTTAAGAAACAAGGCGAGGACGACGAAGACATAGGGGCAAACATTGAGTGAACAGCCCGGCTCTCGGTTTGCTAGGCCGGGCGTCACGGCGTCACGGGCCAGGGCTTCGCGGCGCCTCGAACTGACCCAAGGGGAGCACATTGCTGCGCTCGGTGACACACACACACAATGCAAAGTATGCCCAAGGGAGGTGGGTAGAAGAAAGACGCCGAACCCCCAGCGCTGCTTCTCAAGACACGAGCACGTCCTCTCACTCAGCAGCACCAGCGGAGGTCAACCTCCAAGAATTGCAAGTCGGGGTAAAAACGGTAGCGCCTTCAAGACCTGCCGGGCGAATAAATAACCAGTGAGCGGTCCAAGAACCGTGCGGGCCATTGAAATAGCTTGATCTCTCATCTCCATTTCTGGCTCCCTGGGGCCAGGCATCCCGCGCAACAGCGTATGGTTAAGGTGTTAAGCAATCTGCTGAGTGATACTATTTGCAAGAGTATTTTAAACATCCAACAGGACATCAAAGCACCAGGCGCTGAACACCATCCACGTTATCAGGCAGAGGGTGAGGAAGATGAGTATGCAACAGCAACTGTCACAACATTGAAATATCCCACCATAGTTTGGCTGTTCCCAATTTTTGCGCTCCCCTGGATGAGATGAAGGATCCATGATAATACGAATCGTCATGTCTTCTCACGGCTTGCCCTTGAGTAGCTTCCGAAAAGAAGATGGCCTTCGCGGATTTGAAATGTGGAATGTCCTCCTCTTTCTTCCCTTTCTCCTTCGCGTACTTCTTGAATGCCTCGCGGACCGGGGCATGCTTCCAGGCCTGGTCGAACTCGGCTTTGAATTCGTCGAGGGCCCCTGCGGAGCGCGTGATCTTGCCCTTGAACACCTTGCGGATGACGGCCTTGTCCCCCGACGTCAACTTCTCGCGGTCCACAACTGGCGCCTCTGGAGATGGAGGCGATGCCGGAAGAGCTGCTTTGATCATGCTCTGGATATGTTCCAACTGCCTCTCGTTGAAACCGCCGTCGGGCGGGGCCGGCGGAAACTGGGCCGGCGGGGCGCCCGGCGGGCGCTGCAGCTGCGCCTGCCCGCTGCCGGCCGCCGAAGATGACCCCGAGCACGCGCCCTGGCTCTCCAAGACGTCTGCCAGGAGCCGCCCCTGGCGCTGGTAGATGGCCTCGTGCTCCCGTTCAGCCTCCGCCTTCAAGAACGCTGCGTGCTGCGGGTCGGCATTCTTCAACACCTTCTGCGCCGTGGCAGCTCTCGCCGCCTTGCGCTCGTCGTCCGGCGAAGAAGACAATGACGGGGAGCGACGGTGACCACTGCGCCGGCCTTGGCGATGATCTTGGCGACGGCCATCCCACCCCCACCGGCGAGGCTGCTGCGGGTGCGGGCGACGGTCCATGACGGCAATCCAGCACCTGGCGATCCTTCGAGCCGTCAACACTGCAGAGAAGCTGAGCGGAAGACTATGACAAAGGGCGCCTGGGGGACACCCAAACTTCGATAACTCCACGATCATTTCGACCAATACTACGAGCGAATCTCCTCCAGACACAAGGGCGCCCCTGGCCATGGACAGCTTCCCAAGCAATGCGCCTCGGAGAACTCCGAAAGAACATGTAAGAGCTCCCAGCCGCGGTGGGAATGATTTCCCAGGAACCTCCGAGAGCCCCGAGATCCATTGACGGTTCGGGTTCTTTAGGCTCCAGGAGATGCTGCTGTCCAGGATGCGAACTTCTAGCGTTAGCCATTCGAACGTGTTGCACTCGTTGGTATCACTGTAGTACACTTCGGAAATACTCTTGGAATGCATGTAAAAAACGTCTTCAAGCAGGGCGCGCAGCACTGGTAGCTGGCTGACAAAGCATCATCTACATATCGCAACCAATCGACCAAATGTTTTCCAGGTGCCCCAAATGCTGCCTCCAAGGCACCTCTGGAGAAACGATGGTTCTCCTACGCCTTCTTCTGATGCAAGATGGACGGCGACAGCGGCGTTCGACATGCGCCCTCCGGTCGAGAGACCCTGCGCCCTGGGAACCATGTCCCTGACACAGGCGTACGTGCCTCCTTTTCAGGCGGCGCGCAACGCTTGCCCCATATCCTCCAAGCTGATGGCCCACCACGCTGGAGAGCCGAACGAAGCCGACGCTCGGGTTTGCACTTCGGGACCTCTGTGAACGAGAATCCGAGACTGCCCTGTCTTCTCCTGGAACGCAGCGGCAACTTTTTCCCAGCCCCGCGGAATATTGCGGGCATCGCGCGCATCGAACGCTTGATCAATATCGCAGGTGAAAAAAGACAGACGGCCACCGGTTCGTTTTCCACATTGCTTACACTTGCACTCACCACTCTCACCTACTTGCGGGGGTTCCAAGTTTTTTAGCATGGCCTGCAAGCTAGGCCCTTCGTCACATGCATCGAAGAGCTCATGCTGATCCAGCGTCTGCAATGCCCCCCGAATCGCGCGCCCCATGATTCGCCAACCTTTCTTGCGCGGAATACAACTGCAGTCCAACGCTGGTCTGCAGCAGGAGTGGCCTGGCTTGGTGCAGACGCGGCCTCCGACATCGCCGAAACATTTGCTTTTGACAAATGGCCACAAGTATGGAGGATGAGTCCGCTGCCGGCGACGTGAAGAAAGGCGAAGGAAAGGCGGTAGCCCTGCAAATGCCCGCGCATAACCAATACTTTGAAGGTATCCAGGGGTCGCCTCGTGGTCCAAGCTCCACTCTGGGTCAGATACAATAGCACCCAACACACCTGCAATAAGCTCACAAGGCTCGCACCCCCATACTTTGGACGTGTCTCGATCGTCTTGGACAATGCACACATGCTCTTTGACAACACTGCCCATGTAAGTTCCCATCGTTGCCCAAAGCTCCGGCCGCTCACGTAGACGCAACTTGTGCACGAAATCAGGGATCCGCTTGGAGATCATCCTGGACACGCGCACCGGCACCATATGGAAGCACGCCCACTTTTCCCACTCGCTGGTGAAAGTCTGCAGAAGCTTGTCCCGAGTAGGCCACTGAGGAAGACGCCACGGGGCTCGGAAAGCCCGCAATGATATCATCTGCATGCGCTGCCCCAGCTCACCTTCCGATAACTTCTGGTATTCCTGTAGATCAAACTTCTTGAGCCATGATTCTGCATTGATGTAGTCCCGCCATTTGTCCCACTTGGCCACGACAAACTTGATATTCTTTTCCACCCACACTCGTATCGCGACATTTCGAATATACCTGAGACCTCGCTTGACTAATACCCGCAACTGTCCCAAATTTGCCGCCACAAAACAAACAACCCGGATAGGGCGAATTCTGCTGGAGGTAGATGCAGCCGTCGTAAAATGCATGTGCACGCGTATTTTGCTGACCACCTTGCAGACTCACTCCGAAAGAAATCCGGAATGGCAGAGACCGAGTCGTAAAGATAAGCTGCAATGCGCCATCATTCCCATCCAGTTGGAAACCACGGTCTGGCATTTTTTGACGCAAGGAAGGATAGCCAAAGCCAAAGAATCCTGCTTGAAATAATGGCAGAGGCCCAATCGCACCGGTCAGAAGAAGAACCCGGCACTGCAAGATACGGTACAAGCTCCCGTAACCGAATGCCGGAGTAGGATTGCCGAACATGTCCGGGATGAACGTTTTTCCATGGCTGTGAAGAGCTTCGAGCTTTTTCTCTGCGCCGACAAGAAAATGTTGCTGCAACCATATGCTGTCCACCGTGGTGGTGGGCAACTCAAAACCAGATTTTCGCAACCTGCGCGGAGGTCTCGACCTGCCAGCTTTGTTGGGTTTGACGTATTCCCCAAAAGAGTATGAAGATACCCCACGATGCACGCTGTTCGCTCCAGGCCTCCCTGCCGAGATAAGGACCGCTTCCACTGCCAATGCTTGTTGTTCGCTGCTGTACTCGACGATGGGTAAGAAACACAAGTTGGGGATGTTCTTCCGCAGTAATTTGTATGTTAGGTTTTTGCCCTTGTACGACGAAGGATACAAAATGCCACTCATGTGCTCCACGAGCCTCTTTGGTAAACCTGGGATGCTGTCACCACGCCCAAATTTTGCTCTGCCCACGTAGCAAGTTGCGTGACCGAGAAAGACATACGATGCTGTGCCCTGTTGAGCCTCGACACATTGACCTGGTACATTTTCCCACCACGATTGTTCACCCAGTGAGATAGCTTGACGTACGCTTGGTGGGATAAACTTCCACACGTTTCCAAACCATTGTGGGTGACAATCGGGCCGAAACACAGCACGAAGTCGCCCAACTGCTAGGCCACATTGAACAAGAGCAAGAACAACCGGGAACCGCTGCTTTGTGGTTACGCTCTTTGCCAATGGTGGTGCCATACACTTGATCATAATCGAAAAGCACTCCATCAACACAGGGATGTCCTGCCGCACTGCACATGCGAATACCCACTTCCCAAAATCTTGAAAGGCTCCACGTTGAGGGCACTGCAGAAAGGCACTCCACTTGGATATCTCGCGAGATACGTGCGCGCCAAACTTTGAAGGCCCAGGAACCAGCGCTACGCTGCGACCGATGGCAACCATGGCCAAGCAAATGAATATGAAGAATATGAAGGGGATGACACGCGCACGCACCGTCGGATGTCCCGGCCACCTGCGCGAGAAGAAGAGATCTGCTGATGGCGTGTATGCTACTGGCGCACTTTTTCCAACCAGGCAGACACGCTCAAGGCGCGAGAATCAAGACGAGCCTGGGCCACCAAGTCTACACTTGAGCACCCTTGCGTGCAGTGCCGGTACGCGCCGAAAAGCTCGATCCAACGTTGCAGACGGAGGAGAAGAGAACGAATGTATGGGAAGAGAACGAATGGTTAAGAAACAAGGCGAGGACGACGAAGACATAGGGGCAAACATTGAGTGAACAGCCCGGCTCTCGGTTTGCTAGGCCGGGCGTCACGGCGTCACGGGCCAGGGCTTCGCGGCGCCTCGAACTGACCCAAGGGGAGCACATTGCTGCGCTCGGTGACACACACAACGCAGAGTATGCGGAGGAGGAGGAGGAGAGGCGGAGGAGACTGGGAGGAGGGAGGAAGACGAGGTCGAGGACTGCGGAGGGTGTGTAAAGGAGGTCGAGGAACAGCAAGGAAACGGCGGAGGAGGAGCCCGAGGAGGGGAGGAGGAGGAGCAGGAGCAGGGGCAGGACGTACGTATGGAGGATGTCGAGAGAAAGATGAGGATGAGGGGGAGGGGAGAGGATCCAGGCTGTCTGGAGATCTCGAGCGCGTTCTGGGTTTCTTTCCGGAGGATCTGCAAGGGTTCCGGGGAGGGACCAGGGGGAGAGCAGGAGGAGGGAGGATGAGCAGGGAGGCGCAAGGGGGGCAGAGGGAGGAGGAGAGAGGAAGGTTTGGAGGATGCAGGATACGACGAAGCCAGGAAGAGGACCAAAAATCGGGCAAGGATGAGTCGAGAAGCTTTGCGATCCCGCGGCTCTGGAGGATGTCTCGGGCGCCGCAACCTTCTCAGAGCGTCCCAAAGCGCTCTGAGAGCGTTCTGGAACGCTCTGGAATGGAGTTATCCTCGTCCTAGCCCTGTCCGGATGGACGACATTGGGGAGAGCAGAGCACGGGGGGGGACGACAGGACCAAGACCAAGAGGAGGCAGGAGGGAGGGCGCAGCAAGAAGGACCGGACCAGACCGACAAAACTCGAAATCAACAACATGGTCGAATACGGAAACAAGTAGGGAGTGCCGTGATAGTGTCGCCTGCCGACATTGCCGACGTGGGTGACGCGACCCGTTTGCACAGATTTAGGTCGGGCCTGTCCCCCTACAGGGGGATTGTGGACGAAAAATAAAACATCCTCAACAAATTTTCAAAATATGTACAAAAATACTCAAACAAAAAATCCCAGACATTTTTTTACTACTTTTGAAGACTCCCCCTGTAGAGGGACAGGCCCGACTTAAGCATAGATGGGTCAATGCCCCACTCTAGCAGCGGGACGCACCGACGGGGCGTGCAGCAGGAGGGAGCAGGAGGATGGAGAAGAGGAGGGGGAGGAACGAACGCAGGCAAGCGCGCTCCACTTCTCGCAAAGTAGCTGCTCGCAAATGGCCTGGATCCTCTGCGCTGAGGCGGAGAAGCTCCATCGCATCGAACAACATATGTTTGTGCGACGCTTGCGAGTAGGCGCTTTGCGAGCAGCGGAACGCGCCCGGCGAGAACGAACCAACACCCGTGCGGACAAGTGCCTGGGCCTGCGGCAAGTGCGTGTCGAGCCGCCCCCGGCGCTGGCTCATCAATTCGCGGGGATCGTTCAATCCCTGAGGGATCGGTCGTTCCCGAAATGCCAGATCGTTCAATATCGACCCACTCTGTCGGGGACCTGCTGGCCCGGGTCAATCCAGACCCGGGTCAGTCAGGCCTTGCAGGATCCTGCAGGACCCTGCGCCCAAGCCAGGGTCAGTGCAACCCGCTGGCTCTGCAGGATCCTGCAAAATCTGGCGCTCTGACTGTCCTTCGTTTGCGTGGACCCCCGTCTCTTGAGCCCCAATTCTGGGTCGCCGGCGGCGTCCAAAGTGGAACGCCGCGGCGAGGTCGCCGCCGATCGACACGACGCACGACGCGAACCTACAGTACACGTCGGTCGGAAGAAGCAGGCAAAAATATGGAATAGGAAGGAGGATAAGGTAGGTTGGGATCAGGCCCTCCCAGAGAATGACAAAGCACAGCAAAGGCATATCGGTTCTTGAAATGGGAGGGCGCTGGAAGCAGACTGGGATCTGGGAGATCCCAAACAGCCTTACCTACTTCCAACGGCCGCCGGGTGCTTGAGGCCAGGTGAGCGAGGCCGTGGCCTCCACGCTCAGGTCGGGCGTCCCCCTGCAGGCGGACTCTGGATGAAAAACGAAAGACATATTCACAACACAAAGATTCCCAAACGGTCAACAGATACGCAAAAAACGTCCTCCGACTATTTGTTTAAACTATTCTTGAATATATTCCTCCTGTGGAGGGACAGGCCCGACCCAGCTCCACGGCTCTCTTGGTGGCCCAGGTTGGGCCCTCGAGGCGCCGCCGAGGGGCACCTGCGCACCTCCCCTGGCAGGGGGGCTTCCGGGAGGGAGGCCGGCAGGGGCGGAGGGTCCTCGACTGCCCAACTCCGAGACACACTGTGGGAGGGCGTCCGGCCTCGATGGGTGCGCGTCCGAACAGCTCCCCAACGGCGTGTCTCCGACCACCCCCCTCTCTCTCATGAACGGCCTGCGGCAGTCGAGTCCGTTTCCTCTGTGCCGCTCATTGGAGGAGCCTTGGGACACACAAATAAATACACACAAATAATTCCCATATGTTCCCATTTCATGGGTTTCTGTCTTCCCCCCCACTTTCCATATTTTCCCATATTTCCTGGGGAGTCGACGATTGATTGTGTCTGTGTGTTTCTTTCCCTTCTGAGCTCATGTCCTCTCGCCTACGAGGGTTCCTTGCTCCTGTGTTCTGTGAGAGGCGCTCGTCGCGCCGCGCCCCCCGACAGGCCAGATCCGCGCGAGCCCGGGGACGCGCGGCGCCTCGCGCAGGCTGCTATGCTCTCTGTGTGCAGCTGCCGCCCACGATGGGCCAACTCTCCACACCCACTGCCATAGGTGGGACGGGGGAGGAGGGAGGATGAGGAGGTGCTCTTCCTCCTCCTCCTCCTCCTCCTCCTCCTCCTCCTCCTCCCCCTCCTCCTCCTCCTCCTCCCCTCCTCCTTCCTCCTTCCTCATCCACCTCCTCCCTCCTCCTTCCTTCGCCTCCGTCCACCTCACCTCCTCCTCCTCCTCCTACCTCCTACTCCCTACTCATCCTATCCTCTCCTCTCTCCCCTCCTCATTCTCTCTATCATCCATCCTACTCTCTCCTCTCTCTCCTCTCTCTCCTCCTCATATTCCTCCTATCTCATCCTTATCTCCTCTATCTCCTCTCTCTCCTCCTCTCTCCTCCTCTCTCCTCCTTCTCCTCCTCTCTCCTCTCCTCCTCCTCTCACCTCCTCCTCCTCCTATTCCTCCTCCTCCTCCTCCTCCTCCTCCTCCTCCTCCTCCTCCTCCTCCTCCTCCTCCTCCTCCTCCTCCTCTTTGTCCTCCTCCTCCTGCTCCTCCTCCTCCTCCTCCTTCTCCTCACCTCCTCCTCCTCCTCCTCCTCCTCCTCCTCCTCCTCTCCTCCCCTCCCCTCCTCCTCCCTCCTCCTCCTGCTCCTCTTCCTCCTCCTCCTCCTCCTCCTCCTCCTCCTCCTCCTCCTCCTCCTGTTACGGTTCCTTCACCCGCAGCCGGCTTGAGCCTCGAGCCCAGGATAAATTCCTCCATATCGAAATCACCCGCTTATCTTTTCATG